CCTGCCGGGCTCGGGGGTCCGAAGAGCCTCCCAGCCCTTCCCTTTGGCCCCGGAAAGCTCGACTGAGGGGCGCGGCTGCCCCTTCGCCCCCCACGCAGAGCGCGGCCCCCCCGGGCGCCCGACCCGCCCCTCCCTTGGCGCGCCTGGGGCGCGAGCTGCCGCGGTTTATCAGGGCCCTCCGCGCCTCTCCGCCCCCCATGACTTGGTGACTGCCGAGAGCCCGCGCCCCCCGCTGCCCTTCTCTGCCCTCCTCGCTCCCCCCTCCTGCCCGCCCTCCTGAGCCGGGGTGGGGGGTCCCCGCGCACTTGCACGGGCGCCGGCCCCACTAGTGGACTCGGTCTGGGCAGGCGGCGGCAGCTGCGCTCCGCGTCTCCGTCAGCCCGTCTCTGAGTGGCGACCCCTCGGCCTCGCGTCCGATCAGTGGACGCCCCGCGAGCGCCACTGGGGCTGGCGAGGGAAGACGTTTTTCCGCGTAGCGCCCGCCCCGCTGGCTCCCAGGCGCGGGCCGCCCGCCGGGCGCAGACGCCCCCTCCCCCGCGTGGGGCCAGCTCCCGCAGACGCCGCCCGTGCCCTCGGACAGACCCCGCGGCGGGGAGCGGGAAGGAGGGCGGCGGGGCGAGAGGTCGCTGCGCACCGAGATGGTTCCCTGGCGCCGCTGGGCGCCGCCTCCCTCCGGAGACCCCCGGCGGCCCCTATTCTGTCCCCCTCGGGGTCTCGCTGGCGAGACAAGCTTGCGGGGCTGCGGACGTCACCCGTTTTCGAACTGGGGAGCCCCAGACTTTAGCGGGGAAATCGTTCGTCACAGCGGTGGGGGATCGGCCGAGCCCGCGCGGTGACCGGCGAGGGCTGGACGGAGCAGCTGGGACGCGCCCGAGCCGCGCCTGTCGGGCTGAGGGTGCCGAGGGCCGCTGTGTGAGCTGGGGTCGGCGACGCTGGTCCTCGCCTCGCTGGTCCTCGCCTCGCTGGTCCTCGCCTCGCTGGTCCTCGCCTCGCTGGTCCTCGCCTCGCTGGTCCTCGCCTCGCTGGTCCTCGCCTCGCTGGTCCTCGCCTCGCTGGTCCTCGCCTCGCTGGTCCTCGCCTCGCTGGTCCTCGCCTCGCTGGTCCTCGCCTCGCTGGTCCTCGCGCCGGCCCCGCCCCCTCGGGCACGCCCCGCCCCCAGCCCTCCTCGGCCTTCTGGGAGTTGTAGTCTCGGCGGCGCCTTCTGGGAGTTGTAGTTCCCGGGCGCAGGCGCGTCCTGGACGCGTCGCACACCCGCGCCGCTGCGGGACTGGGGTCTCGGGGCCGAGGAGAAGCGGCCCGAACTCGCCGCGCCCGGTGGAGGACGCCCAACGTCCCCGGAGCGGGACCCGGACGGGGAGGGCGCGGCTGCGCCGAGTGTGCGTCTATTCTCTCGCGGTGCAGAGGCGGGGCGACCCCCGCGCCGGCCCCTTCCCTCCCCTGCCGGTCCTCTCCCAGACCCCCGCCGCGCCCCCCGGGAGGAGAGGGATGCACCCCGAGGGCGCGGCCCCCCCCCCCCCCCGGCACGAGGGGGCCGCTATACCGGGTCCGCGCCCGCAGCGCCCGAGCCCCTGCGCGATCTGACCCTCGCCCCACGTGGCCACCGCTGCCCTGCGCCGGCCTGGGCCCCGCTCCTCTCGCAGCCCTGCCCCGGCCTCGCCCCCGCTGCCCTGCGTGCGCCCCCGCTCCGCCAGCTCCCCACTGCTCCCGGGACAAAGGGCACCAGCTCGGGTTTCCCTTTTCTGCCCTACAGGTCTGGAACCGAGACTGCGGCGGAGCCGGAAGCAGGACGCACGGGCTGCGGGCCCCGATGGGCTCTGCAGCGGAGAGACAGGCCGCGCCGCACCTTCCACGGGCTGGAGGGCGGAGACAGCGCGGCCGCCGAGTCGGGGAGCCCTGGAGGCGCGCGGGGGGATGGGGGGGCGGGGCCTGGCCCTCCAGGCTTTGTGGCACCGCACACCAAAGGACCCCCCAGAAGCTGCCGCAGCACTACGTGGCCCACTGGGCGCAGGTCCGCTCGGCCTCCCTTGAAGCCATAATCACAGCAGGACCCCAGCATCATCTCACCAGTTACATCCACGTGGTGGGCAACTTGTGCAGTCAAAAAAATAACCAGCCACCCCTTCCCAGGCCACCGAGCCCCCACCAGGTACTAAGTCACCCCCCAGAGGCACCGAGTCCCCCCCAGAGTCCTCTCAGGGCCCCCCTCAGGCACCATTATCTGTGGTCCCCTGGCCCCTCTGCCCTCTTTCCCCGTAAACGAGGGTTCCTGTGAATATTCGCTCATTTGCCTGAATGTGCCCCCACATGGGCGCCCCCTGGGGATTCCGTTCATTCTCTTACACCCTACACATGGCATACCCCGAGATGCCCACAGTCTGGGCACAATGTCAACTGAGGAACTGCCCTGTCTCTAAGATAACAGGTCTACACAAAAATCCCAAGTTTAAAAAAAAAAACAAAACGAGATTTTCCAATTTTACCGAAAAGTATAAAGTGTGGTACATTCCCTAATCCAATACCTTTGAAATTTTAAACAACACCAAGAAAAAGAAGAGTTTACTAGGCTTTATAATAGATAACTGCTTTTGAAATAGGTCATGGAAGTGTATGTTTCCAAATTTATTTTGAAATAAATTGTAAGATCTGACCTTGCTTCACTGGTAAATACCTTCACTTGCGTGTCTAAGCAAAATCATCTCCTAAACAGCTGCAGCATCATCCCAACAGAGTGAATCTCTTCATATCCTTGTCCAATCCATACTCAGGTTTCTTTGTTCCACCCCCAAAAGTTTGTAAAACATGACTTATTTGAAAATAAGTAAGCCAAGTGATCTGCAGGTGTACAACTGCAGGAGGAGAGCCCAGATCTGGGAGGCCTCTCAGCTCAGCTCTGCAAAGGAACCAGGGACTGTCAGACTTTGTGCTTCTGGTCTGGCATCACCTGCACTGGCCCTGGCACACAGTAGGTCCTCAGAAAACATTGGGGGAAATGAGTAAGTGGGGAAAGCCCTGGACTGGCCCTGGTGCCCAGCAGGTCAGGAATTGTGGGGTCTGAATCTGAATCTCCCCTGTACTCTGGATGTCACCAGGGCTTCAGCACACAGTGGGTCCTCAGGAAGAATGACTCTGGGGTGAACAGATGCACGGTGAGCATCCACAGCACTAGCTCTGGAGGCCCACCAAGTCAGAAACCAAGTGCCCTGGTTCTTTCCTGTGCCCAGTCATTGGCATACAGTAGGTCCTCACGAAGCCCCCATCCCCACCCCCGCAGCTGAATGCAAGTTCACCCAGCATTCACCCTAGAGTCGTCAAAGGTGAGAGACAATGCACAGTTGTTTCTTCCCAGGGCCGCAGACACCATCTAGGTCTCAGCACACACTAGGTCCTCACGAAATGCTGTGCTGGACTATTAAGCTGAACGCTCCCAGGCCCGGAGCCCAGGGTCATAACCACGCAGTCCAGCTCCTCTGGCCCACATTTCCCCGCCCCTGCCTCTGAACACAGTAGGTGCTCAGGAAATGCCAACTGGGTGGTTGAATGAGTGAAATGAGACCCCAGTTTCCAGGGGCAGATTTCACTCAGGCGAGAGCCAGGCCTCCCCCGCAAGAAGTCAGCGCCCCCTCCCGATGAGTGAAGGAGATTTTCTTCTCTTCGGAAGCCTCTCACTTCGGCTTCCACGTGTAGCTCCTTACCGGGGTGTTTTTCTCACTTCCGTACCCGCGGGTCTGCGCGCGTCAACCCGACGGACAAACGCGAACACGGACGGGCACGTGGCGGCCCACAGTCACCTTTCCCCCTTCCAGCCTGTCACCGCCCTCGGTGATGCGGATTCTCCAGGCCCTCCCGACGCGGGTGCCGCGGGCTCCTGCACTTCCGACCCGGTGTGCTGGGCCGGGCCGGGCGCGCCTTCCCCGCCGCTCTTGAGCCGGCTGGGAGGGCCAGATGAGCCGCCCCGCCCGGAGCCGACCCAGGACCCTGCGCGCAGCTGCGAGGCTCGTCGTCAGAGGAGGGTCCTGGCACCCCTCAGCCAAGCCGAGCCGAGCGGACACCGGCGAGCGGGGAGGACAGCCCTGTCCCCAGAGGCGCGCGCGAAGGTGGCCCAGGGGAGGGCCCGAGGCCACCGCCGGCGGCCACTTGTCAGGAGGCCTCAGGGCAACACCTGCGACCCCAGCCCCCAGGCGGGCACCGGACACCCGCTCCTCAATTCCCGCCAACGGTGGAGTGACTCCAGCCGCCTCGCCCCGGCTTCCCGGGCCGGGGCCATTGGATCGTGTCCCGCGTCCTTGCGTGGCTCGTGCTGGTGCGCGCTTGCCGACCCCACCGCCTCGCCTCGGCCCGCCCGCGCGGTCTCAGCGTCTGCACCCGAGCGCTGCCGCCCGGACCCGGGCGGGCGGGGAGCCGTGGGCGCCCTCCTGGCGGCCGCGTAGACGGCGCCTGCCGCCCGACCGCCCACCCGCGAAGGGAGCAGATTTGGCTGCGGTGCCCGGCGCGCGGTTCCGGGAGGCCGGGGCGCGCGGGTGGCACCAGTCGGTCGGGCGGGCTGTGCGCTCGGTGTCCCACGCCGGGAGATAGTGAGTGCAGGTTGTGCGGGGGGGGGGGGGGGAGGCAGGTCAGCGCCCTCGCCGAGACAAGCAGGGATTGTGCGCTGCACGGGTCGACCAGCTCTCCGCGGGGTCCGCTCCTCCTCCCGCGGCCCCCCGGGTCCCCACGCACGGGACTCCCGCAGCCCACCCGGGGCCACCAGCCCGCCGAGAGCCCGTAACTCCGCAGCGCGCCGGGAGCCCATGATGCCCACCCCAAATCGCCCGGAGAACCCCGCAGCCCGCGGGACGATGCCCAGCGCGGAGCGCACATCTGCCGGCCGAGTCTCCCGGGGCAGGCAGCGGCTGTCCCGGGCCCGGGGCTGCATCTCCGTGGGCCCGACTGCCGCGTCCCGCTCCGGGGGCGAGGGAGCGCCCCTGTGGTGCCCAGGGGATGTGAGGGACGACCGGGGTCCAGCCTCACTCCTGCCGCTGCCATGCCCGGAGGTCGGAGGTGCCGCCACTGTTCACCCCAAGTCTACGGCAGGAGCCGCGGGGTCGGGGGCCGCATATCAAGCGGGGTCTGTGACCCCGGGGTCGGGCCGGAGGCTCGGGGGCGAGTGCTGCGGGTGGGGAGCGGCGCCTGAGCTGGGGCAGGGGCCGCGAGCCGCGAGCTTGGGGCATCTGGAGCGGGAACCGGAACAACAGCCGCGGTTGGGGGGGTCGGGGGGAGGGCGAGTCGCGAACCCGGAGCCGCGGGCGGGGCCGAGAGCCGGGGGCTGGGGGGGGTGGCGGTCGCGGGGGGGCCGGGGCGGGACCCGCGAGTTGCGAGCTTCCGGCCGAAGCCCGCTCAAGGGCCGGGGCCGCGGACCGCGAACCGGGGCCGACGCCGTGGGCTGAAGCCGGATCCCGGGATCCCGGAGCCGCAAGAAGCGGGTCTCTGGCTGGGTCCGGCCGGAGCCTCTCTGGGGGAGGGCCGCGGCGGGGGGACGGGCAGGCAGCGCCCCTCGCGCGGAGAGGCCCCCGCCCGGACGGCCGAGGCTGGACGGCCCCGCAGCGGGGTCCGGGTCCCTCTCCGCGCCGCCCCGCGCACGAGGTCGACCAGAGGCCCCGGCGCGCTCCGGGGCGGCGGGAAAGGGGTCGCGTGGGGGTGGGGTCGGTGTTCAGGCCGCAGCTCCACCGGCCTGCGGGGACCTGCGGCTCGGCCCCAATCCTGGGCGCCGAGGTTTTTTTGGCTCCAAATCGGCACTTTGTGCCTCCAGGATATCGGTGGCTCCTTGCTTTGGGCGAAACCCCGCGCGTTCCCTCGCCCGCCTCTGCGTTCTCGGACGTTTTCGCGGCTCCGGTGTTTGCCATCGCGTTTCAAGGCGCCACACGACGCGCTGCGATGCCCTCGCCTCAAAGCACAAACTAAGTCGCTGTTATATGCGGTTTTCCAGTGGGTGCCGCCTCTACATAAGTTGGCGTGAGTTTTTGTGTTGCGCTACGTGGGAAACAAATCCTCAGCAAGGCTGGTAGTGCCTCTGGGAGGCCACAGGATCTGCAATGGGCACCCCTGTCTTGACGAATTTGGCGGGCACTGCTGAGCAGGGTGCTGCAGGACTCAGTTTCCTGCAAGCTCCCCAGGACCTGATGCAGGCAGTTTGTTGTGCCTCATCCATGCTGCAGGCACTGTACCCATAAACGCACCCCACACCTACTGCCTGGTGAGTGGGTAGGTGGCAGTCTTATTTGAAATTAAAATAAGACCTGTTAGCCCCCCACCTAGTAGGGTGTGAGTTCTACGGCCTGTGCCATCCCCCTCCTGTGAGGATACACTGTTAGATGTGGAACCCTGTATCTACATGGTATGCTCACATACAAAGTGGATGTGTGGAAAAAGGTTCTCTAGGCCCAGGGCTGCTATTGGGTCAGGCCTTGCACCAATACACGTGCTGGTGGCTGCTCCCTGGGCTGTGAATGTGAAGCACCAAAGCTAGGAGGATGCAGCGAGTGGCTCTGGGTGACCTGATGGGTGCATGTTTTCTGTAGAGGTGCCTCAAGGTGTTCCAGGGCTCCTAGCTCCTGCCTGTGTCCTCTGCTGTGTGGCTCAGTGCTTCCCCTTTGTATGTTCCTGTTTGCTTATCTACAGGGCCTGACTCCCCCATGTGCTTTGCTGTTCTCATGCCCCATTGGAAGCAACACCATGGTGTGGGGCTTACCCTTGTCTGTGTCCCTATGTCCCCCCTGCAGTGGTGCTGGCCTCAGATCAAGTTGGTGTTGATTGGTGTGCCTAAGATTACCCACTTCAGTCATGTGGTCCCTTGGGGAGTTTGTCCTCACCCCCTGGGTGGTCAGTCATGCAGTGTCAATGTCATGAGCTGAACCTGTGGTTATAGATACAGCCCCATGGAGTTAAACCCTCAGGGCCAGTGGCCTTTGCTATTGCTTGATGTGTTGCTCTGTTCTTCCCTGATCTCCACCAGGCACCTGTCCTTTGGCTTACACTGTGCCAAGGACTTGGCTCCCTCCCAGGACCTTACCCACCCTGGGAGGTAGTGAAGGGCACTTGTTTTCCTACTGCTGATACATGCTAAGCATTCTGGGGTGTGGGACCCCAAGTGAGTCTGTGCTTTTGGGATCAGTCTTCCTGGCTTTGGGGCCTGTGGGTATACCCATGGATACCACCTAGTTCCCTCATTGGGGTGTCCTGTTGCCTGGAGCTTGCACTTTGGAAGAAGCCAATGCTTTGAGCTATCTGGGCCCCAGGGGGCTGTTTTGGGGCCAGAAGGGGGCCTTTGTGTGGTGTGGTGCTGGTGGAGATGCCCAGAGAAAGCAGGTGCCTAGGCTGTCAGCCCCAGTGTGCAAAAGGGGCCTGGTGTTGGTGGGGACTCTAGGAGTGCCTGTTCCTGGGCAGTACCCAGGCCACCCCAGCCCCATGGGGAGCTTTTATAGCATTGTGGTTGGGCCAACAAAAGTGGTAATTGGGGACCCATGGGGGGCTGGGGTTGGCTGTCCCTGCATTGCCTGCAGGTGTCAGAGACCCAGACTTGTTCTGAGTGGGTGCCAGAAGCACCCATCTCTCACATAGGGCTGCTTGCCCAGGGGTGGGTGCCCACTGGGTCCTGTGTGACTGGTTCTGGAGTGGAGCCCCCAAGTCAGACCTTATAGTGGTAGTACCTGTGGCTGGCTGTGGATTGGTGCCCCTGGTGGGCAGGTGGAGACCCAGCTCATAGTGGCTGAGTGTTCTTGACTGGGGTTGGTACCCCCATCACTGAGATTTGCAGCCTTCCTGAGTGTGGGTGGTCAGTGGGGGTGCCAGAGCTGCCAAAGGGTGTTGTGCAGGCAGTTGGCTGTGTGCTGAGCCCCGCCTATGTGCATGGGTCACCGCTGCCATCAGAAATAGTGGGACCTGCTTGGTATATGGGGAGAGAAAGCCCTGAGCCCCTGGATGGCTGTTTTCCTCCCTAATGCAGTGCCCACTGCTTGAGTTCTATGTACAGGGTGCCTGGAGTGGCATCTTCTCCACCATGGCTGTGAGTGCTGCAGCTTGGACAGGGGGATTCCAGCTCTCAATACAGTGTGGGGCATGATAGGCAATCCTCAGAGCTGCAGGGGCCAGTTTCAGGCTCCAGCCACCTGCATAGGCTGGCCATCCATGGGGGTGGTGGTGGGAGCCTTGCTGTGCCTGTGGGGCTGGTACTGTAGCAGTGTCCAGGAGCCCTGTGGGGGCATGGAAGGCTGATACCTGGGCTGACCACCTGCCCAGCTCAGTGGCTCTTCCCCTGCTGCTGTGTTCCCCAGGGTGCTCTTCCCCCATTGGATTGCCCCTGGAGTGACCATCTGGAAGGGTCTTTAAGCTTTAGCCCCATTACAATGTGATGGGGTGCCCTGCCCAGGAGGAGAAGGGGGTCCTTGTGCCCTGAGGGCTGTGGCCTGGTCTTTGTCAGCGCTGTGCTGTGAGAGGTGGTGGCTCCTCTCCAAGAGTGGGACCCCTATATGTTCAATTGTCTGCATTTATGCCCTTGGGGGCTTCTGCAGGCCCTTGTGTCTCCTGTGGTACTTTATGAGGTACCATTTTTACTCACTATGAATACCCCTAGTCCCAATCAACTGTGGGGGCTGGGATGGCTCTGATATGCCTATGTTCTCCCCCAGGGGCTGCCTCTACATCATCAATGGGGTGAGACTGTGCTGGTGCAGATGGGCTTGCAGGCCAGCCTGCTGGTGGCTCTGGGAGGCTGCCAGTGCTGTGATGGTCACTTTGGTCTTGGTGCAGTGCTTGGAGTGGGTGCTTATAGGGCAGTACTCCAAGTTTCCTGCAGTTCCCCAAGACCTGGTGCAGGCACAGTGGCTTGTGCCTCATCTAGGCCACAGATATGGTTCCCACCATATGTCCCACACCTGGAGGCCTGGTGAGTGGGGTTGGTGGCCTTGTTGAGACTAAAATGAGCCCTTGGCTTTTTCCATGAATGGGGCCAAGGGCCTGCCAGAGCCCCTAGCCTGGTGGGGTCTGAGCTCTCTGGCTTGTACCCACCCCTCCTGAGAGGGTGCAGTGTTGAGGGTGGTGGGGCCTGTGCCCCCCACAGGGTGTGCTTGATCGCAAATGCATGTAAAGAGCTACCCTTCCCTGACTTCCTGAGCCCAGAGCTCTGGTGGAGTCAGGCCTTGCACCAAGCCCATGCTGGGGGCTGTTCCCTGGGCTGTGGCTCTGGGGCACCAGGGCTGGGAGGTAGGGGGAGCCTGGGGTGTCTGGTGTGCAGGTGTTCTGTGGAGGGGTCTTCATGGCTTTTAGCTCCTGCCTGTGGCCTCTGCTGTGGGCCATCTCCAGTGGCTCAGGGTCTGTTCCTCTCATGTGTTCCTGATTATGGGCTCTGACCCCTGGTGTTCCTCATGGTCATAATGCCCTAGTGGAAGCAGCAGTAGGGAGTTGGGGTGCTGCCTGTGTCTGGGAGGGTCTTTGTGTTCAGCCTGTTAGTGTGGTGGGGGTGCCCCACCCAGGGTGGGGGCCCATGGCCTGGTCTTTGCATCAGTGCTGGGCTGGGTTGTTTGTGTCCCTGCAGTGCTCTGGACCTGCCTCCAATGGCTGAGATTGATGGGGGGACACGCTCACACTGCTCCCCTGACTGGGTTTTTCATCCGTAGAGATTCCTAATCCAGGGGCAGCTTTGCTCAGTGTGAAGGGAGCCCGAGTCTGACTTGGCATTTGAAGACGGAGCCCAGGGCAACAAGGCTCCACCCTGGTGGGGCGACTGCCTGCCTTCAGCCAGTGCTTCACAGTCCAGGGGCGCTACTGGCCAGGGATGGCCTCATCCCCTGCCCTGCAAGTGCGGGGTGTCAGCTGCTGATGGCACAGGGTGGGGGGTGTTAAGCAGCTTCTCTCCGTATCCCTGAAGACGCCCCTTAGGGGCGAGGTGTGTGCACGGCCTGAGTCCGGGGCGCAGGTGGCCTGGTCTGGGTTCCAGACGGGGCCGCCTGGGGCTCCTCCTCCTCACTGGGTGCCAGTCAGGAGGAGAGGCTGCAGTTGCTGCTGTGCCCTGCCGAGGTCGACCAGTTGGCCGGCCTGGGCCGAGCAGCCTATGGTCCAGTCGACCAGATGGCCCGTTCCTGCCCGCCACCAGGTGACACTGCAAGATGGGTGGAATAGGATGGGACCTGACTGGAGGGGGGGTATCAAAGGGGGGACGGAGATACGGCACCCCATTCGAATTTGTGTCCTTTCCCTTTCCCCTTTTTATTCGGGTGCAGTCACCCCAGGCGCGATGGGGAGATAACCCCCCATTTCAGACCTATATGTCCTCGTTTCGCTAGAAAATCAGGAAAAGTTTCACCATTTATTTGGGGTTTCTTCCATGAATCCCATGTTCTCAGCAGAGAGATGCTCTATTTCCATCTCCAGTCACAGCTGCTGCGCTGAGAGCAAAAATTAGAAAAATAGACTCATCCTCGCAGTTTTTCCCATAACCCTCGTGGGCTTGGGACAGGGGCAGGCCAAAATAAGGCATGTGCAGTGCAATAAGCCGAGTTCAGGATTCTACAAATGGAAAATCAGCTTCAAATGTCCATTACACACACACACAAACACACTGTTCATGAGCTAAGCAGGCCGCAGCCAAGGCTTCCAGAAAGCTTGGGAAAGCAGCAGAGAGGGCACATTCCCTCACAGAGCCGGAAAGCAAGAAAATGACTATTTTTAACTCAGTCCAGTCATTGGGAGTTAGAAACAGGATGGTGTGACATAAAAAACACGGGGCATCCAACTTGAGGAAGCTGCCAAGGCTGGTTCAACTACTAGATCGTTTGTAGTCAGAGAAACAAAGGATTCAACATTGACATGAGGAGTAGAAACAATTTTTTTTCAAACCAAAGACCTAATA